TTATTCATTCAGCAAGCACTTAATAAATGTTTCATTCATTCATTCAGCAAGCACTTAATAAATGTTTCATTCATTCATACAAAGAAATAACTAGCAGTTTTCAAAGGAAGATATTCAAAACTATCAGCAACTATATGAAAAAAAATAGTCCAAATAAGAAGTACAAATTAAAACAATTCCAAGATTCCACCCAAACCTCCTATGATACAAATATGGCCTTAATACTTGAACCCAGGATAGCTTAGCTTTCTTATGCTTGCAGCCACACTCAACTCATATCGTCCAGAAAATGGTATCTTCCTCCTTAGAATAACCACAAACAACTATATGGACTTCACCTTTTGGGGATACGGGATTTTGCTTTTTTTGTCAATTCTGGTGGCGACGTGCTTTTAGAGGCTTTGGCCACATTCCTGCATGATCATTTAGCTAGTAGGGTGGAAAAAACTATATTATATACAATTAAAATTTATACCATGCTAGCACATCCAAAGTGCCCAAGCGCAAGGACTTGCTTATGTCATGTTTAAGCATTGGTGGAAGTAACAAAATATAGATATGCCTGCTTCCTGTTTTCCAGGCCCTAACAGAGCAGATTGGACAGGTATACAAATCAACCTAACAAGACAGGTATCAATATAATGTGAAAGTTCAGACAAAATAGAGATGTCTTCCTGATAAGGAAATCATGGCAGCTTTTATTAAAAACAGCATTTGAGTGGAACTTTGAAGGTTGGGTAGGAGTTCAATAGTCAGGTCTGATGCAGCAAGGGCATTCTAACCCTAAGGAATGATGTGAGCGAAGGCAAGGGGGTGGGAAATCTTGCACAAGTTCAGTTTCACTGGAAAACAGGTTACATGAATGAGTAGTGTAAGTCTGTAAGAACAAGTAGTAAACAGATTGTGGAGAGCCTTAAATTTCAGATCAAAGAATTTAGACTTTCTCATAAGAGGCTGAAGGCCCAGGGGTTGGTGAGGAAGTGGAAGCAGCTAATGTAATAATAGCCAGCATTTATATAGTGTTTTATACAGTATTTTACAAATATTATCTCAATTGATCTAGTACCATAAATCCAGGTTTGTGTTGTTATTACCCCCATTTTACCAATGAGAACTTGAGGCAGAGTGAGATTAAGTGGCTTAGCTAGGGTCACACAGCTGGCAAGCATCTAAGGCGATTTGAACTCAGGTCTTAGTTTCAGGTCCAGGCTCTATTTGCTATACCAGCCAGCTCCCTCTATTTATACTTCACTACCTAGCACTGAAGGCAAGGAGAAAGATTGTACTAGCTTGAGGAAGAAATAGGGAAAAGAGAAGATTTTTCTAAGGATAAGCAAGACTTGCTCATTTTTAATTGGGGAGAGAATGGGACAACAAGACCGAAAATGCAATGGAGTCTGCAGATTATTGATTCAACAATCTGAGGGAAGCCAGAGAAATTGGATAAAGGGCAAAGATGGAGGAGTTAAGGCTGGTCAAGGGAGAGTCCGCCATTTGCCCAATTCAGTATTAATTCCTCTAAAATGAAAGAAAGGGTATGTAAGAAGAAGTAGAAACATTCTGAGGCATAAAATAAGGGAGTTAAGGGGCACACATCTTACTACCATTTTCTTAGTAGAGCTGAGGCATCTGCTCTGAGTAAAACAGGCCTAGGATTGGGATCAGGGCCCAGTTGAGGCTGCAGGTAGCTTTGCAGAGCCCACAGGACAGAGGTTGTATCCTACTCCTAGTGATCTTATGTCACTTGGAGCCTCTACAAAAACATCTCTTGCACTGGACAGAAATTCCACAAATCATTTAAGTATTAGTACAGGTCAATGTATCTTCACCCCAACCTGTGTTATCAAGAAAGACCCTCTAACCCAGGATTTAGCTAGTTAGTTTGAGTATTATCAGATTAGCTAGTAAGGGGTAGGGAACCTGTGTCCTCGAGGCCACATATGACCCTCTAGGTCCTCAAGTGACTGGTAGTCAAAGGGCCACAAATGGAAGTTAAGTGAATTGTCCAGAGTCACACATATAGTATGTGAGTCCAGATTTGAATTTAATTCTTCTTGACTCTAGGCCCAGCACTCCATCTGCCACCTAGCTGCTATAGGTGAGTTTTTTTTCTAAAAGAAAGAAAAAACAGTTTATTAAACACACCTGATACATGCATAGACCATTCTGTCCTAGCAGTCCCCTGCCTCCCAGCAGACAGGAGGGGTTATGAATTATCTGTTCTCCAGGATCATTAATCAATATTCTCCTCACCCCCATCTTGATTTTACAGGAGAGGAAAACTGAGGCCTAAAGAAGGGTACATACTCAACCTCCTCATTTTACAGAAGAAACTGAGGCCCATAGAGGGATAGAGGCACAATCCCTTTACTTTACAGAGAAGGAAACTGAGGACCACAGAAGGACAGAGGCACAATCCCTTTACTTTATAGAGAAGGAAACTGAGGCCCATAGAGACTTAAAATCTTAGGACCACAAAGATCTAGAACTAGAGAGGACCCCAGAAACTATCAAATCCAACCTTCTTATGATACAAATGAGGCCCAGAGACGGTAAGTGCTTTCCCCAAAGTCACACTGGTAATAAGGGGCAGGGCCAGGACTTTGAAGCCAAGGCTCCTGCCTTCACCTCCAGGACCATCCCACTCTTTGTTTTGTCCCATGTCAAAGTACTCCTTAACTGTGACGGATTGCTCCTGAGTTCTTCTCCTGGTGAGCTTCCATACCAAAACTGGGCTGGAAACAACAGAATTATGAAGGACAGAGACTAAGTAAATGCAGATGGGGTGGAATGTTGGGGTTTATATGCAAGTGGAGAGGCAGCTTGGTGATATTCCCCAGGGTTGCCTTTTTCTTTTCTTTTCTTTTCTTTTCTTTTCTTTTCTTTTCTTTTCTTTTCTTTTCTTTTCTTTTCTTTTCTTTTCTTTTCTTTTCTTTTCTTTTCTTTTCTCTTCTCTTCTCTTCTCTTCTCTTCTCTTCTCTTCTCTTCTCTTCTCTTCTCTTCTCTTTTCTTCTCTTCTCTTCTCTTCTCTCTCCCCCTTTTTTTTTGTTATGGTTTATGAATGCTTTTTGGTTTCCTGGGGTCCCTTTTAGGAAATTCAGAGGCCAGGGAGATGGGCTATGCAATCAACATTTCCAGTAGGGGAAGGGATTGGAACCAGGTAAGCTGATAGGTGTGATACCTCAGAGTTGTATTCATTTGCATTTCTCTAATCAGTAGTGATCTAGAGCATTTTTTCATGTCTGTTGATAGCTTTGATTTTTTCTGAAAACTGCCTGTTCATATTCTTTGACCATTTATCAACTGGGGAATGGATCTTACTTTTATAAGTTTGGCTCAGTTCCCTGTTGAGAAATGAGGCCTTTATCACAGAAACTTGCTTTTAAAAAATCCCCTCCTTCTCCCCTACCCCCCCATTTCCTGTTATCCTTCTAAATTTAGCTGTATTAGTTTTGTTTTGTTTGAGCCAAAGGTTTTTAATTTCATGCAATCAAAATTATCTATTTTGTTTCCCATGATCCTCTCTATTTCTTCTTTGGTCATAAACTTCCCTTATCCACAGATCTGACAGGTGCATTTTTCCATGTAGTAAAAGAGAACTTTTGGGAGCAAGGATGTCTTTTGTTGTTTTCCAACTTAAGCCCAGAGCTGTGTCTGAGGGGCTATTTTAGGTATCCATAGGCCAAGCCCTATTCAAATTCTTTTTCTTCTGCTTTGTTCACAAAAGGAAAGAATTTAGGATAGCTGACTCTAGGGAATCCAGGAATCTGTGAGATTCCAGATACATTAAAATGGAAATCATGATAACCATAGTTGGGAGGGGAAAAAAAGCAAATGACAGACAGTGGGTAAGAGTCATAGGTATGCAAAAAAAAAAAAAACCAAAACCAAGGGTCAAAAAATATTTAAAAATATGCAAAAAGAACAGAAGAAAATTTGAAAGAAAACACCAATTATTGCAGACTTAGTGCTACCATGTTAAATTTAACAAACATTTTAAAGCTTACAGTTTAATATATAATACTCTTCTAGTTTTCTTTGTATATCAAAATGTTCATATTTGTTGATATTTGTTAAGTTTATAATAAAATAATACCAAAAGAAAAGGGAAAAAAAAGTAATACAGAGTAGTGCTCCATTTCCAAAGTTAAAAATAAAAAAAAAATCCTTGACTTGGAATTCTGAGGGTCCAGAGCTGTACCCTTGGTTCAACTCCAATATTTTAGTTCACTCCAATATTTTTACAGATGAGAAAACTGAGGCCCAGAGATATTAAACAGCTTATCTAAGTCTCACAAGTAGTTAAAGAGCAAGGAGGGAATTTGCATCCATATCCTCTGATTCTAAAGGATCCTGCTTGTTTTCTACTGTTCCAATACACCATGCTCCAGCTGTAAGAAAAAACCCTCCAGGACCCAGGGGATCAGTAGAAAAAGCTTAAACTTACAGAATGATTGACACACTAAGGTCATCTCAGCCTATATATTTTTAATGTTCACTGAACTTCTTTCAGGGGAGGAAATACAAAACCTGATTGCTTCTCTCTGTTTCCAAATGTTTTCTGCAAATGAAGAGGATGTGGGTAAATCATATAGCCTATCTGCTAACATGGACAATGCCTTTTAAGGGTACCCACTCAATGGTAATTACAAAAACTGCCAACTGAAGAATTCTGGAGCCAAGTACGATCTGGCTGACCAACCCCCAACGCTCGCTCCTCTCCTTGCTCCTTTTTTTTTTTTTAACACTAACTATCTTTGTTCGTATATAAACCTGTCTGAGCTGGCTAGAGAACTCTGCTTTGATAACAAAAACACTTCCATTTAGATCTAAACCAAATTAAGTTTCCTTTTCCACCACTAATGTTTTCATGTAGTGAATAGCCAAATAGTTTCTCCCCTAGTTCTTTTTTGTTTTGTTTTTAAATCTGGAAAACAACAACAAAAATAACGAAAAGCTGGCGACCTATATGTAAGAGAAAGATGGAATTTGTTAGTTACCAGGTTGGTTTTGCATGGGAATTCGAGGCTGCGTTGTCCCCACTTTCTTTTCTCTTCCCGTCAGGCGGTAAAGGTAAATAGATTCAGGAAAGATTGACTCCCTCTTTCCCTCCTTCCAGCCAAGAACAGGCTCTGCCTCTGGCTACTACTTTTTCCTATGATGAGATCACAGCACCACTGGGAAGAATTAGTGGTGCATAAGAAATACACCTTTAACCAGCAGAGGCAGCAGGAGCAAAAAGTCTAAACACAGACTCCTGTCCAGCTTTCTTGCTTTACAGATGTGCACCCCAGAGCAAAGGTCCACAGGATAAAGATATTTGTCTGGTATTCTTAAAGAGTACCTTTTTTCTCTTCTGACCTAGGATCATACGATGTTAGAGCCGCAGGGGACCTTAGAATATAATCTTTTAAACCAATTGCCTCGTTCTGTAGACAAGGAAGCTTGACATTGGGTACAGAGTGGCAAGGTGGACTAATGGGTGGAACACTAGCTTTGGAATCAGGAAAATCTGGGTTGAAAGTCTTGCCTCTGCTTACACACTGACCGTATGATCCTGGACAATTCTGTTTAACTCTTCAGTGCTTAGCTCTCTTAAGACTTATCTCTAGCAGAGCAGGCCCTGAAGTACATTCCTTGTGAGTTTCTTCACTCTTCGCTTCATGTCAGTTCTTTCCCTATACTAAGGAAGTTATGAGTCAAATTTAAAACAGCTTGCATACATAAAGAAAAAAAAAAGGATTCCTTCCAGCTAGAAGCTTAATTACCTAAAAACCCATTCTAGGAATGCCTCCCACCCTCCTAGCTAAGAATACTCTGGATTGGGAGATGATCTAAAAAAAAAATCACTGATCACTTTTATTCCTCAACTCAGTAGTTTACGCTCAATAGTTTATAAATGGCACAGCTAGAGTCACAGTAGACAGAGTGCTGGGCCTAAAATCAGAAAGACCTATCTTTCTTGAGTTCAAATCTGACCTCAGACACGTTAGCTTTGTGACTCTGGGCAAGTCACTTACCCCTGTTTGCCTCAGTTTCCTCATCTGTAAAATGAGCTGGAGAAGGAAATGGCAAACCACTCCAGTGCCTTTGCCAAGAAAACCCCAAATGGGAACACAAAGATTCGGACACAACTAAAAGGATTCAACAACAACAATGACGGCAACGACAATGATGATGTTGATGACAAGAAATTTATAAAAGAGTTGGCCAAACACTTAGCCAACATCTAACTGAGACAGTTGGAAGAGATTAAACTTGTTAGACTGGGTAGGGAAGAATGTAAACAACTGTTTTTCTAGTCATTGACTAAAATGTTTCACATCACACCCCAGTCCAACTAAGGGCCAGTAGTTAGGTGGGGTGAGCCAGATCCAGAGGGCTGGGAGTGTCTGAGAGTGTACTTTTAGGTAACTAGCATTGCCCAATGAAGGCTGAATTTGACTACACAAAGGAACTACACTACAGTAGACTTCTTAATAAAGCAGCAAGGTAATTGGTATTGATCTGTACTTTCTTTGCTGTAGACAATGTCCTGATGAGCCTCTCAGAAATGAGCTTACCCTCATCTCAAAATCTATAATTAAGCCCCCATCAATCCCTTTCCAGCTAGTTGTCTCATCAGTAAAATGATAAGGGTGAACTAAATGGTCTATGTAGTTTATTTCATCTAGATCTAGAATCATGATCTAGATCTAGAATCTATGATCAATTCATACTTTAAATTTACTTTAAAGGTACATTTTTTCAAAAGTGTGTGTTTGTGTATGTATGTATGTATGCACATGTGTATGTCTACCCAAAGTCTATACATATATATATGTTTGTATCTAGTCTGTCTATACATCTCATCTATCTATTTATATCTATATAGATATTGGAGTGTCCCAGGAGGACTAGCCCCTCTGCTGTGAGGGCTTGCTGAGCTCTTTTCAGGGCTGCTCATCCACCTTTGATGTTCACATTTCTTTCACTCAACCTGTACCTCCAAGAAGCTGTAGCATGCAGTGTCTCCACCCAGTAGAACCATCTTGAGAGACTAGATAGATCAGGTTGAGGGTAACTGATAGTCTTCAAACCTATTAGTGAGTTGAAGGATTGTCTACCCTTACCATGTGAAGACTTCCCCAACGGAATGGGCAGATGAGAGCAATTTGTTCCAATAGCCATGAAGGCAGAGGAAGCAGGTGCTTAGAGTGCTTAGAGCTTGATTAGGCATCAAAGGTGCCAAGGTCATCCTCAGCATCCTGGGCCATTGCCAGTTATCTTAACTTTTACCTTGACACTGGACTCTGGTGACTCTGGAAGGGAGAGTGAGGCTGATGACTTTGTGCAATTCTAATTCACACACAAGTGAAGACATTAGCCTGTGATATCATTGGTCTTCTTAGAAAATGAAGGGTGAACAACAATAATATTGGCTCCTCACCACAGCCTTTGAGAATACAGCTAGCATCCACACCTTCAGGAAATATCAGAGGACTCCAGGAGATCGTTAAAATGGCTCAAACAATTTATGCCATGGTCTAGCTGAATAGATACCAAGTGTGTACCAAAAAGTCGCTAAACTTAAAGTGGTGGCTCCAGGGCAATCATATCCTTATGTCAGGGAGAGGATGGATTTTTCTCTGACCTTCCTGGCTTCCTTAAGTCCCAACTAAAATCTCACCTTCTACAGGAAGCCTTCCTCAACCCCTCTTAATTTCAATGCCTTCCCTCTGTTAATTATTTTCTATTTATCCTGTTGTTGAGATAAAAATCAGTGATAAAGGGAAACTGAGGCACAGAGTTCTAGGCATTATTAATTCATTAGCAAGGCTAGCAATTGCCAATAAAATTGAGGCAAGGCTATAAGGCACCACAGACAACCAGATGGGTTTACAGAGAGCATTTTTATAGTCCATAAAGAGGAATCAAAAGTTACAGAATCTTTGGGTTACACGAATTGATTAATTTCTGTTCAGCTAGAGGTTAGCTAAGATTGGAATGAGGAATTTAGGTGATTTGCAATATCCAGCTCCTGTCCATGACAATTATGAAAGTGTAAACACTCCAATATGATTGGTTACAGCATTACAAAAGTAATGTAAGAAGTGATATAATTGACATCATAGAGTTCTGTGTCATACAAGGGCACTGGATAAAACAGTCGAAAAGAGAAACTTAGTTTATTAGCTTATTTCTGCAGGAGCTAAGCTCTGTACAAATAGAGATGGTAGCTAGAGCCAGTGCCCTGATAGATCTTATTACAATTTATAACAGTGAATTTACAAAATCAATTGATTGAAAGAAGTGATTAATTGATTATAATTTCACACTGTATATAGCTTGCTTTGTATATATTTGTTTGTGTGTTAGCTCCCCCTTTAATTGTAAGCTCCTTGAAGCCAGGGACTGACATTTGCATCTTTTTGTATCTCCAGCACTTATCACAGTGTCTGAAACATAGTAGGCATTTAATAAATGTTTATTGGTTGATTGAGTGATTCTCAGCAGCTCCTCACTGCTTACTGAACACCAATGGAGATGAAGGATACATGTCAAAGTTTTTTGTTGGAGGATGTTGGGAGAAGAGGATCTTAGACATCTTTCTTCTTTTCTTTCTAAAGTTATCTTTTGTGGCCTTGAAGATAAAGATTTAGCTTGGTCCCTTTCTGAAATTGATTGAAGCACTCAGAAGAAGGAACATTGAGCAGAAAGTCAGCATGGATGCTCAGGAAGTCCTGGGTTGAGTCCCATTGTGGATAATCACTGACTGTGATACTGAGCAAATTACTTAAATTCTCAGCAAAACTCTCTAAGAAGAAAATTCTTGACCTGCGGTCTGTGGATAGATTTCAGAACTAAGATGGGGAGAAAAATCCTTATTTTTTAATTAAAATTTAGCATTTCCTTCAGTTACAGTTGTAGGCAACAAATATTCTGAGGAATCTATAGGCTTTACCAGATTGCCAAAGGGTCCACGACCCCTAAAAGTTAAGAATTTCTGCTTTAAGACTATAATTTGCAGGAAAGGTGCAAAATATTTTTTTAAAGAAAAATCATTGCATCTTTTTTGCTCATCTTGTCTTCTATCCGAAAGTATTTGAAGAGGAATTCTTTTGTACCGATGGGAAGCACTTTTTCACTGGGTCACATTTTGAAAGCGTCTTAATTTCATTCATAAGGAGATGTACAATGAAGAAGGGAAGAAATGCACAACAGAGAAGGAACTTACTTAAATGTATACCTTAGTGATTTTGTTATGACAAATAGATAATACAAATAATAGTCCACATTTCCTTGTGTTTCTTTATAGTCTATTATCTTTGGCTTGGGAAAACCTTATAAACTTTAATTACTCCCTTCAAAATGTTGCTAAAATCAGTTGTGAATGACGGCTATTCTCAGCAATACAATGATCCAAGATAACTGAAGGACTTATGATGAAAAATGCTGTCCATCCCCAGAGAAAGAACTGGTGGTGTCTGAAGACAGATTGAAGCACATTTAAAAAAAAAACCTTTATTTTTCTTGAGTTTTTTTTGTCTATGTTTTCTTTCACAACATGAGTATTATGGATATGTTTTGCATGACTACACCTATCTAACTTATATTGAGCTCCTTGCTTTCTCAATAGGGCGTCGGGAGGGAAGAAGGGAGAGAATTTGGAACTCAGAGTTTTAAAAATGAACATTAAAAATTGTTTTTATGTGTTACTGGGGAAAAATAAAAATAACATACTTTAAAAAAATTTGCTATCCTCCTCCAGAGAAAGAACTGATGGAATCTGAATGTAGATCGAAACATACTATTTTTACTTAATTTTTTTTGTGTGTGTGGTTTTTTCCTTTTGGTATGTTTCTTCTTTCATAGCATGACTAATATGGAAATATGGTTTACATGATTGCACATATATAACCTATATCAAATCGCTTGCCATTTTAGGAAGTGGAGAGGGAAGGAGGAAGAAAAATTTAGAACTCAAAATTTTTTAAAAATGGTGTTAAAATTGTCTTTACATGTAATTGGAAATAATAAGATACTATTTAAAAAGAAGAAGAAAAAATGTTGCTAGAGAGCAGGCTTCATAGTCAGGAAGTCCTTGACTCAAATCCTTACTCTAACACATACTGACTGAGGGATCCTGAACACATCATTTAACTTTTCATCATCCCAGTCAACTCTCTAAGACTATAAA